AATAATGACAGAAAACTCCCCCCAACCTGGTGAAAGAAATAGACTTACAAGTCCAGGCAGTGCACAGAACCCCAAACAAAAGGAATCCAAAGAGGAACACACCAAGACACATCATAATTAAAATGCTAAAAGCAAAAGACAAAAAGAGAATATTAAAAGCAGCAAGAGAGAAACAGTTAATTACCTACAAGGGAGCACCCATACGATTGTCAGCTAATTTCTCAACAGAAACTATGCAGGCCAGATGAGAGGGGTAAGAAATATTCAAAGTGATGAATAGCAAGAACCTACTACCAAGATTACCCAGCAAAGCTATCATTCAGAATTGAAGGTCAGATAAAGGGCTTCACACATAAGAAGAAGCTAAAGGAGTTCCATGCCAAACCAGTACCATATGAAATGCTGAAAGGTATTATTTAAGAAGTGGGAGAAGAAAAAGGTAAAGATAAAAATTATGAACAACAAATATATATCAAGTGAATCTAAAAAATAAGAGGAACAGAATAACCTGGTGAATATAGTAGAATTAGGGGCATAGAAAGGGAGTAGGCTGACAATTCTCGGGGGGGAAGGGGTGTGGGATGCAAGAAGAGACTGGAAAAAAATCATACACATATGGATGAAGACAGTGTGGGGGGTGATGGTAAGGACAGAGGATGGAGTGGGAACCAGGTGGCTGGGAGCTATGGGGGGAAAATAGAGGAACAATTGTAATAATCTGAACAATAAATATTTTTTTTTAAAGAGGCAGTTGTTAGACCAAAATTAAAGTGTTTTAGATTTAAAGAAATAGAAAAAGCACTAAACCAAGCAAGATACAATTATGAGTTGTTTTTAGAAAAAGGTAGGCTGTAAGTGAAGAAATGCCTATGAATTTCAGAGTGATACTCAATGTGAAGAAAGAGAATCTATATATATAAAAAGCTAATATGCATATTGTCTGCTCAGGAGTTTGCTCGCTATGACATGCACTGACCACTAGGGGATGGCGTGAAAAATGGTGGGCAACCAGCAGTGGCAGCAGGGTGCTGAGGGAGTGAGGGAAGGGGGAGGCAAGGAAACCAGGCCTTGGAACCCTACCCTGCATGAATTTCGTGCACCAGGCTTCTAGTTATTAACAATTTTTAACTTACAATTTGGGATGTACTCTAAAAGTTATTTTGAGAATGAATGTCTTTGCTTTCAAAGTGACATTTTTCTCTCAAATATTTGAGTGCCTCATTTGTGCCATAGTAAGCAAAATGACATGAAAATGTGGTGGCATTTATTAAGTGAAAATAGCAAATAAAAACTTACTTGATTTTTTCCCCCCTTATCACTCCTTTTTCCCAGTTTGAGTTGGTGGAGAATTTTTGACTTTTTAATCACCAATGAATCCCAGCTTTAAGAACATCCGGTAGACATAAAAATATTTGTCAAATGAATAATTGATTATTTGGGAAGAGAAATTTTACAAATTGCATATGATTAAATGGAACTTTAGTAAGTGTTTTAAAGGGAATAATGCAAGGTATTATGTAATACTAGAGGCTGAGTACACGAAATTTGTGCATGGTGAGGAGAAGGGTTGGTGGTGTCCCTCAGCCCAGCCTGCACCCTCTCCAGTCTGGGACCCCTCGAGGGATGTCCGACTGTCCTTTCACAATGCAAGACTGCTGGCTCCCAACTATTCGCCTGCCTGCTTCCTAATTGCCCCTAACCGCTTCTGCCTGCCAGCCTGATCACCCCTAACCACTCCCATGCCAGCCTGATTGATGCCTAACTGCTCCCCTGCCAGCCTGAATGCCCCTAACTGCCCTCCCCTGCAGGCTTGATTGCCCCCAACTGCCCTCCCTTTCAGGTCTTGTTTCTCTCAACTGCCCTCTCCTGCTGGCCATCTTGTGGCAGCCATCTTGTGTCCACATGGGGCAGTTATCTTATGTGTTGGAGTGATGGTCAATTTGCGTATTACTATTAGGATAACATGTAACAATATGTCTATTCTAATCTAAATTAAATTAAATGAAACTTTTAAGGCAGTGATTTTCCCCCACGTTTTATTGGTGCATAATTAACAAATAACAGCATGTATATTTATAGTGTATAGTGTGATTTGGCATATCTATGTTGTGCAATGATTACCACAGGTTAACAAGTCTGTCACCTCACAGTTATGAGAGGAGAAAGAGATGGGGAGAGAGGGAGGAAGGGAGGGAGGGAGGGAGGGAAGGAAGGAGGGAAGGAAGGACGCTAAAAATCTCCCTTAGCAAATTTCAAGTACGGTACACAACACAGTATTATTAATATTTTGTTCAATAGGATGACATCCTAAAATAGCTTGTTTACATGGTTAATTTTTGGAGTCCATTGATCACAACAAAATAGAATTAGATTATCTCAGCAATAGAAAGAGATTTGGGACTTGTTCGGTCTGAGGTTTTAACCAGTAGGAAATTCTTTTCGATAGTGTTCTTGAAAGCACTCTCTGGTTCCAGTTCACTCACTTTTCTGCCTGAATGTCCATTCATGGGAACTAGTACTAAATCATTTCACAAAGATTTTATTAAGTGCATATTATCTAAGTTCCATGATAACAATTTTGTCAAATCCAAGACATCATAAATTAGTAGGGCCCAGTGCATGAATTCGTTCACCTTGAAAGGCACTATGGGCCTCGAAGCTGCGGTAGGCACAGGGTTAGGTCTCAGCCCATCCTCCATGTCCCCACCCCACTCTTCCCGCTGCAGCCATAGTCACCTATCTGCCCACAGCCCTGCTCCCACACGCTGATGGTGCCAGTCCTGCTCACACCTGCTGAAGGCACGAAGCAATTGGGGCTGGCGCCAGCAGCAGTTGCAAGTGGCAGCTGCTACCCTGATCACCCCTCAGGAGCACGGGGAGGTGGAGAAGCCCTCAGGAGCTTTCGGGGCCAGCAGCCGCCCGTCAAACACACTGATGGTACCCAGAAATCAGGACCGGCGCCAGCAATGCGTGTGAGCGAGGCTGATGCTGGCACTGGGTGTGAGTGGCACCATCAGTGGCAGCAGGTGCAAGAAGCGGCTGCCAATCCTAATCTCCCCTCAAAAGCAGGGGGAGGTAGAGAAGCCCAGAGGGGGGATTGGTGCTGGCAGCCACTGATGGCATGGAGTGATTGGGGCCGGCAGCAGTGGGTATGAGTGGTAGATCTAGGGCCAGCAGAAGGTGCAAGTGCCGGGCAGGACCATGGAGGACAGGAGTGAAGAATTTTCAATAACCACCAGAGCTTTGCCCTAATGACAGTGACCAGTGCCCTGCCTTGGTCTGGCACCCCTGCTCACCTGCTCCACCATCTTGCCACAGCCAACACCAGCCATGTTCCACGCACACCACCTGGTGGTCAGTGCATGTCATCGGGACCACTTGTTTGGTTGTTCGATTGTACCAGTTGTTCCACCATTTGGTCTATTTGAAGAAATGATGCATCTTATCCTATAATAGCCTTTTATAATATAGGATAAGATGCATCATTTCTTCATGTTCTATGTGAAAAAATGTTATATTTTTTTACTATGACACATCATTGACATGAATATGCATCTTGATTATAGAGATGTTAACATGTCTTTTAAAAGCATGATTTATAGAAAATAGAGTAGTGTTTCTACATTTTTTACAATTTAGGAATATCACTGAGAAAATATCCTTTACCTATCATTTTTCAGATTCATCATTCTACCTTTAATATTTTCCATCCCTAATGTAAGCATTCTTTAAATCCCTTTTGTTAATTTTCCAGTTATTTTGCCATTCTGATTATTTTCTTTTGGATGCTTTGTAGTTTATCATAAAACTGCTTAAAATTTAATATCTACAGATTTCAAAAAGAAAATTGGAAAATGTTAAGATTAGTATATCCAGAAAGTGGAACACTGTAAGTTCTTGAATGAGGTTTCTAACTTGACAAGGTTTTTAATAATTTTTTAAAACAGTCCATACCTTTGAATAAATTATTGTCATGATTTTTACAAGTAGATTAACACTTTATACCTCAATATTCTTTAATCCTCACCTGAAGATATGTTTGATTTTAGAAAGAGAGAGGAAAGGAGAAGGGGGAGACAGATGGGGGAACATGGATGTGGAAGAGGAACGTCACTTGATTGCCTCCCGTAGGTGCCACCACAGGGATCAAACCCGCAACCTAGTTATGTGTCCCAACCTGGAATTGAACTGCAGCCTTTTTTGGTGCCCTGGATGGTGCTCCAACCAACTGAGCCACCTGGCCAGTCCATCATACTTTGTATAGTAAGAATTTCTCCCCATTGACACTCATTACTCACTTTGGTAATTGAGGTTAAACATGTTACTTTTTATAAGCTAACATATGTTGTTACAGGTATAAACAGAATTATACATCTTTTCTAGTTATTCTCCTCTCTACAAGATTATTAAAAAAGAAATCTACCCATAATAATTTAACCTGGGAATATTTCTAAATGACAAAAATGTTTATCTGCTTTAGTAGTGAATATTTCCATTTGAATATTTCTTTTTCCCCCCATTTTATTTTATTTTTTTTATTATTAAATTATTATCTGTATACATATACCATTGCCCTCGGCCCCCATAAATGCCCTTCCTTCCCAGAGTTTTGTGTCCATTGGTTGTACTTATATGCATGTATACAAGTCCTTTGATTGATCTCTTATCTTCCCCAGATCTCCCTACCCTCCCGCTGTAATTTGACAGTCTGCTTTTTGCTTTACTGTCTCTATATATATCTTTTGGTTCATCAGTTTATAATTTCTTTATTATCCATAAATGAGTGAGGTCATGAATATTTCTTTATAATCATGTAATTTCTGACAGTTATTGTATGACTGTTATGTTATGTATTGCCTAGTTCAAATTAACTCAACTATAAAAGAAATTACACCTTATAGTGTTAAATTCGCTGATTCCTATAGAGTTTATGGGTTTTGTTATTGTAAAATTAAGCTTCCTTTCATAGTTAATATTCTTTTCTTTCTTTAATAACACAGGTTTTGAGAGTATTTTAGAAGGGCTTTATGGACCACGGCTACGAAGAGACCTCAGTTTATTTGAAGGTAATGTTTTATTTCAAAATTTTAATCTTCTGTCCCATTTAAGAAATGAGAAATGGTTGTTCTGCACTAACTTTATACTAAACATGAATTTGTGTTATTGTTTAATTGGAAAATATTTTAAATGAATACATACAGTGATCCAAATATTCCTATTATTAAATGATGTTATAATCTTTAAAAATTTTAGTACACCGATCAAAATTGAAAATGAAGTTTGTTTTGGCTCAGTGGTAAAATTTGGTTTTTGTCATTTTATACATTACATTCCCTGCCTTATTCTTAAAGAGGACTTAAAGGGATTCAAGTTGCCTGTTTCTTATGATACAGGCAGTCTAAAACTCAGATTGACACTGAGAAATCCTGCCATATGTGTTCAAAGTTTTCTATTTATGTATAGCCTCCTCTATTTATGATAGCCCACCCTTCCAAATGTTGTTGCATAAATGCTGGTCTAAGATTTTGATCTGGGATATAATGGCTGTGGTAGCATAGTTTAGCTGTTTTACTGCTTGCTTGGAAACATAGAGCACATGGAGAGAGCATTTTTGTAGGCATGTGAGATTGAATAGTACAGTTCATTTACAAAATGGGTAATGCTAGAATAGATTTTCTACTTTGATTTTGATTGAATTATTTCTGTATCTTGACACTTTTTAATGCTGTCTCTTTTACCTTTTGCCCTTCTCTGGTACCTTCCATTCTACTATGACCAAAGTCCTATCTAATAGCTTAAAGGCCCTTCTTTCTGTGTATGTAAGTCCTTTGAGTTGAGGTAATTATAGTGATAGTTGGAGTAGTCCGAAGTTTTCTGCTCATTCTTTGTTAATGTTGAGGAGGATTATTGAGCTATGAATCATAGAGCTGACAGTAAATATGCAAGATCATTTGTTCCAACCACCCATCTTCGACCAGATGAATGACATCCATGCAGAATATGACCATAAGGACCAAGACTTCAAAATATACCCGTTCCAATGTTTTATCATTCTATGGCTAAGATCTTTATTCTTTTTTCTTTTTTTAATTAAAAGTACTTCTAATTAAAGTTGCTTAAGTATGATTGCACTAATCCCATGTAATAAAAGCCTAATATGCAAATTGTCCTCTCCTGCAGTAGGTCGTTCGATTGCTCACTGTGATGTACACTGACCCCCAGAGGGTGAGACAGAACATGGGGGGCATTGGAAATGCACCACTGGCAGTGGGCACTCAGCTGCCAGTTGCTGGGCCTGCAAGGAGCCTGCCCTGCACCCGCACAGCCTCCTCTGGGTGAGCTGGGCTGGGACTGCAGGGGCTGGTTAGGCTCCCTGTGAGTTCCCACAGGAGCTGGTGTGTGAGGCTGGCCAGGCAATAGCGCGCTGCCCGCCTGGCTTCTGTGTAGCAATGCTGGGCAGCCCCAAGGCCCACACTGCACCCTGGTCCATGGCCTTTGGCCACGCTCAACGCATCTCCACATGGAACTTGGGCACTGTGACTCAGGCAGAAGGGGGAACACAAAGCCCTCGGACTGCCCAGGGCCTAGAGGTCAGCTGGGACATGCCCTTTCACACCAGACGTTTGCTTTTTGATCGCCAGCCAGGCTTAGGAACCACACCCGTGCATGAATTTTGTTGTTGTAATAAATCTGTCTCTGTGTAAGGATGAAGACAGCTATGTTTTTAAGGAAAATTAAGTCAGTGTTATCAAAGTGTAGAGCCTGGATAAACTAAGATGGCGGCCTAGGTAAGCACCTATACTGCTGCCTCGCACAACAATTTCAGAAAACTAAAAGACAGAAAGGACATCATCAGAAACCACAAGAAAGCTGAGTGGAAATTCTACAACTAGAAGAAATGAGAAAAGCTCATGGATCAGAGGAGCTGCAAAGTGCTAAAAAGGTATCCCGGCGTAGACACAGCTGATACTCACATCCAATTGGCCTGGAGGTCAATTCTTCCCAGTGATACTAACAACAATCAAGACTTAATACAACAAGGTTGTATACACAGTCCACAAAGGGGAGCACGAAGAGTGTCTACCGCAGGTAACTGGGGAGGCTGACTCACTGGGCCATATAGGCCACCTAGCACACAAAGCCATCCTACCAACTCAGGAAGCAGCAAAAATGCAGAGACAGAGAAACAGATCACAAACGAAAGAAATGGAGGGGAACAAACGACTGGATATAGAGCTCAAAACCATGGTTATAAGGTTTTTCAAGAATTTCTTAGAAAAGGCCAATAAATTCAATGAGATCCTCAAGGGTATGAAAAAAGACCAACTAGAAATTAAACATAGAGGAGAAACCAAGATGGCAGCATAGGTAACTGCCTAACTGCAGTCTCACACAACAATTTCAAAAAATACAACTAAAATATAAAGTAGATATTATCCAGAACTACAGGAAAGTTGACTGACTGGAAATTCTACAATGAGAAGGAAAGAGAAAAACCAGAAGGAAAATCAGAGGAGCTGTAAAAGCCTAAGGTACGGAGACACGTAGCGTGTGCAGAGAGGACGGAGCCTAAGAGGAGGGGTAGCTGAGTGCCTGGCTGGCATTCCCTAGAGGGAAGGAGATAAAAGCTCTGGACTGTGCTGAACCCCACTTCCAACTGCACAGAACCCCAGTTGCAGGCTCATTGGTGGAGAGACTAGACTGTCTGGTAGCGGGCGAAACTCTAGGGCACCTTTCTCTCAGAGGAACACTGAGACTCAGGAACCTCATAGGGCGGGCTACCTGGAAGCCAAGGCTGTAGGTTCCACCCTAAAACTCCGCCCCATCCAAGCTGAGCACAGAGTCTCTTGCAGTTTTCCCAGTCTAGGCGAATAAGGCTGTCTCCTGGCATAGATACAGCTGATTCTTCCTCCCTACCATCTCAGGGAAGCAGTGAAAATGCCGAGACAAGGAAACAGATCACAAACAAAAGAAATGGAGGACAAAAAGCAACTCTATATAGAGTTCAAAAACAAGCTTATAAGGTTTTTCAAGAATCTCCTAGAAAAGGCCGATAAAATAAACAAGACCTATGAAGATATGAAAAGGGATCAACTAGAAATAATAAGGGATCAACTAGAAATAATAAGGGATCAACAAGAAATAAAGAATACATTCTCTTAAATAAAAAATATTATACAGAGTCCTAAAAACAGAATGGAAGATTGCAAGAATCAAGTCAAAGACTTGGAACACAAAGAGTCAGAGGACACTCCTCCACAGAAGCAAGAAGACAAGAGAATCCAGAAAGTTGAAAATAATGTAAGAAACCTCTGGGACAACTTCAAGCGAACCAACATCAGAATTATGGGCGTCCCAGAAGATGACAGCAAGATATCGAAAACATACTGAAAGAAATAGTGACAGAAAACTTCCCCCACCTGGGGAAAGAAATAGACTTAAAAGTCCAGGAAGTGCACAGAACCCCAAACAAAAGGAATCCAAAGAGGACCACACCAAGATACATCATAATTAAAATTCCAAGAGCAAAAGACAAAGAGAGAACATTAAAAGCAGCAAGACAAAAGCAGGTAGTTACCTAAAAAGGAGCACCCATACAATTGTCAGATGATTTCTCAACAGAAACCATGCAGGCCAGACGGGAATGGCAAGAAATATTCAAGATAATGAATAACAAGAGCCTACAGTCAAAAATATTCTACCCACCAAAGCTATCACTCAGAATCAAAGGCCAGATAAAGAGCTTCACAAATAAAATAAAATAAAAATTAAAGGAGTTCATCACCACCAAACCAGAATTATATGCATTGCTGAAGGGGGTTCTTTAGGAACAGGAAGAAAATAAAGATAAAAATTATGAACAACAAATATGTAACTATCAACAAGTGAATCTAAAAACCAAGGGAATTAAAAAACCTGATGAACAATATTAACTGGTGAATATAATAGAATCAGAAGTATGGAAGGGGAGTGGACTGACAATTCTCGGGGAAAAGAGAAGTGGGAGCTGCGGGAAGAGACTGAACATAAACTGTGCACCTATGGATGAGAAACAATGGGGGGTGGGGAAAGGCAAAGGTGGGGTGGGAACCTGGTGGAGGGGGAAAAAATGAGGCTCTTTTGTAATAATATGAATAATAAAGATTTATTTAAAAAGAAAAGAAAGGAAATTAAAAATAAAATGACTGAAATAAAAAATATTATACAGAGACCCAACAGCAGTCTAGAGGATCACAAGAATCAAGTCAAAGATTTGAAATACAAAGAGGCAAAACACACTTTTCCAGAGAAGCAAGAATAGGAGAGAATCCAGAAAGTTGGAGATTGTATAAGAAACCTCTGGGACAATTTCAAGCATACCAACATCAGAATTATGGGGGTGCTAGAAGAAGAGAGACAGCAAGATACTGAAAACCTATTTGAAGAAATAATGACTTTTCACCCCCACCTGGTAAAAGAAATAGTCTTAAAAGTCCAGGAAGTGCACAGAACCCCAAACAAAAGGAATCCAAAGAGGAACACACAGGGGAGGAGAAACATCATAATTAAAATGCCAAAAGCAAAAGACAAAAAGAGAATATTAAAAGCAGCAAGAGAAAAACAGTTAATTACCTACCAGGGAGCACCCATAGGATTATCAGCTGGTTTCTCAACAGAAACTATGCAGGCCAGACAGGAGTGGCAAGAAATATTCAAAGTGATGAATAGCAAGAACCTACTACCAAGATTACTCTACCCAGCTAAGCTATCATTCAGAATTGAAGGTCAGATAAAGAGCTTCACAAGTAAGAAAAAGCTAAAGGAGTTCATCACCACCAAACCGGTATTATATGAAATGCTGAAAGACATTCTTTAAGATGAGAAAGAAGAAAAAAGTAAAGATAAAAATTATGATCAACAAATACATATATATTAACAAGTGAATCTAAAAATCAAGTGAATTAAAAATCTGAGGAACAGAATAACCTGGTGAATATAATAGAATTAGGGACAAAGAAAGGGAGTGGATTGATAATTATCAGGGGGAAAGGGGTATAGGGGGTGCAGGAAGAGACTGGACTACAAT